AAATTTTCAGCAAATGGTTTCCTGGGTATTGCAACATAATTTACTTAATCTTCCCTTTTACCACTGATCTGCATAACCACCTTCACCATAGGGTAAACTCTTAAATTACCTTTCAGTTAGATTTAAAATTTTTATTGTGCCCCATTTGTTAGAGCAGTCTTAGAATACATTAAAATAACCTATTGGGTAAATGCCCTTGTAATATCCTTCTGAAGCATTTATTCTACAAATAACCATTTAAAGTCAGTTGGTCACACTCTCTACAAACCCTTAAAAAATATTCTTGAGGTTTTTTTTTTTTAATTGGAATCACATCCAACTATGGTTATTGGTCTATTCAAATTATTCAATTTATTAAGAGTTCTATTTTTATTAATATGCACTAGCAGCCAGTTTTTTAATCTACTCAATACTATAATAGCCAATTTCAATTATATATTGAAACATCTTATAGATAATCTTCTTTTTTTAATCTCTCTACATTTACCATCTTAAGAATTTCCCAGTTTGTTGAGTTTAATGCCTAGTTCACTTATTTTTATTCTCATCTAAAACTGAATCCATTTAATGATATAATTTTTAGGATAATTCTGACCAAAATCTCATAAATTTTGATTTATAACAGTTTCAACACAGGATTTTTTTAAGTTGTTTGTAGCAACATTTGTATACTCTTTGACACAAAGATATTCAGAGGAGTCTTTGGTTTACTCTCTTCCAGATTGCTGAAGTAGCTGTTTACTCCAGGTTCTGATTCTGAGAATGTAGATGGCACAATTTATCTTGTTTTAGAATCAATCCAATTTTCTCAATGCTCCAAGATTACTAACAATATGCATATCCCTTGATACAAAGTATAAAGTGAGGCAAGTACCCATTAAGCTAAGTTTAACTCATTCAACCAAAGAAAAAAATGTAGAGTCTTTAATACAACTAAGAAAGTTACACACTAAGTGGCCTCCGTTATTTACATTTCTTACCTCATTTCTATTTTTCTCCCCCTTGCTCATTCCTCTCCATTCATAACAGACTTCTAAACTATGACAGGCACGCTTCTAGCGCAGGGCTTATGTACTTCCTTCTTTCACTCAGCTTAGATCTGCTCAGAGATATTCACATAGCTTCCTCCCTTACCTCCTCTTTGTTCAAAAATAATCTATCTTTATTACTATTAGTATACCTCCAACTAGACTGAAAGCTGGGTTACAGCAGAATTTTTGTCTGCCTTGTTTTTCTTCAATAACCCAAGCCCATAATAGTGTCTGGTAAATAGAAGGTACTGAAAAAAAAAACAAAAAACTGTTGGCTTAATAAGTTAATATTTAAAAGCACAGGTCCTGAAGCCATAATGCCTGGGTTAGAATATCTTAACTTCTCCTTACCTTCTTTGACCTAGTTTCCTCCTTAATAAAATAGAAAATAATAATTATCTCAAGTTCTAAGAATTAAAGTAGTTAATGCTTGTAAAGAACACTGAGCAATGTACATGCAATGCATAGTAGATGGAAAATAAATGTTACCTAAATACTAATATTACTACTTTAATTATTTCTTGAGCTATACAGTAGGCATTCCATATCCACAGGTTCTATAAATACAAATTTAATCAAACGCAGACAGAAAATATCCACCCCCAACCAAAGGAAGAAATTCTGGAAAATTCCAAAAGGTAAAATGAATTTGCAGCTGCATTGGCAACTATTTACATAGTATTCACATTGTATTTAAAATTTTTTACACAGCATTTATGTTATACTAGTTATTATACGTAATCATAGAGATGACAAAGTATACAGGAGGATGTGCTGCAGAGGTTGTATGCAAATATACCACAATTCATATAAGGAACCTGAGCATCTTTGGACCTTGGCATCTGCCACAGCTCCTGGAACAAATCCCTCAGACACTGAGGGATAAGTATACTTTAAAATCTCCTACCATGTTTAAGTTTTAACCAATTTAAAAAAATTTCTAATAAAGTTTTACTTTATATAAATATTAATCCTTTATATTATGTCACACAAATTACTACTAGTTTGTGGGATTATACCTTTTATTATATGAAAGTGTGTATCTGTCTTCTCATGATTTTTCCCTTCAGTTCTATTGTGATCTGTATTTACTTTGCTGTTTGTTTTTGTCAACTTCCTTACCATTCTTACATTTGCCAGGCTTATCCTCATCTACTCCTTTGTTTTCAATTCTTTTTATGTCAATTTATTTTAAGTCTGTGTTTTCTAAAGAGTATTCCTAGAAATGAAGGGTAAGGACTTCGGCACAATATGTCATATTAGTTCTGTCCCAGAAGCCCTAGCAGGTTTTCCTCCGCAACAACCTCCTTGGCCTCCAGCAGATGCTAAGGCTGGAGTCTCCTGGGAAACCCGGACGACTTCACCAAAAGTACTCTTTTACTCTGCACATGGTGACTCACATTAGGCAGACTTCTTAAGTATTCTTTTTATCGACTATAAATTCTTTTTAAGTTTTCTGTATGAGGACAGCTATATGTCAATGGGATTTCTAGTGGGTGAAGGTTAGAGAGACCACAGGCTTACTGTACCATCTCAAACCAAGTCTCCTTTATTACATGCAAAGAGTAAAAATTAAAAAATGAAAAAAAAAATACACACACACAAAAACACTATTCTGAATGGTTTTTTTCCCTCCTAGATTCAATTTCTATAATTTCTAACTCACAGAATTTGCTAGAAATTCCAAATCAATGTCCTATAAATGGCAATAGGAAAAGGGCTTCCCTTGTTCCTTTATGCAGAATTTGTCAAAGCCCTGCAACCAAAGACCAATAGGAATACACCTGTAGCTGAACAAGTTTTATTACTGCTCATTGCAATGAAGAATACAGCATACTATGGGTTAAGGTAGGAAGATGTTACAAACTACTGATAGGATACAGGCTCATGTTAAGTGATTTGGGGGAGGGTTCAAGGAAGTAAGGATTTGCTCTGGACTGGATACTGTCAAGAAGGGGGATAATCCTGTGACCAGGTATCTTAACATATCTTACCTGGACAAACAGAAAACTAGAGTGAGATTAAAGCAGTAATTAGCAAAGATGCAGCTACTGCTTGTATTAGTCAGGATACAGGCGTGTTTGGTATTCTACATATTTTGCACAGTGATTTTTTTATTGTGCTTAGATAAGTTTATGAAGTGATCTTAGTTTTTGTTTTATTTCTTCCTAGTCCCAGAGTGACTGTGTCTGATGTGGATGTTGTGAGATTAGGTTTGAAAGGAGAACATCAAGGCCCAGCTGTGAATGCCAGGCCTGTTTCCAGATTCTGCTTTCCCTCTTCAAGTTCTTAAAGATGTTTCCATTCAGTTCTTAAACATTCCTCCTGAGGGGCTTCCCTGGTGGTCCAGTGGCTAAGAATTCTCCCTGCAATGCAGGGCACATGGGTTCGATCCTTGGTTGGGGAACTAAGAGCCCACAGACCACAGGGCAACTAAGTCCACGTGCTGCAGCTAGAGAAATTTGTGCACCACAGGAGACATGGGTTCACTCCCTGGTCGGGGAACTAAGAACCCACAGGCCAGTTGGCAACTAAATCTGTGTACTGCAGCTAGAAAATCTGTGCACCACAACAGAAGACTCCACATGATGCAAACAAGACCCGACACAGCCAAATAAATATTAAAATAAGAGAGAGGGAATGAGAAGCCCACACACTGCAATGAAGAGCAGCCCCTGCTCACCACAATTAGAGAAAGCCTGTGTGCAGCGAAAAAGACCCACCACAGTCAAAAAATAAAATAAATAAAACTTTTTAAAAATTTTCTCCTTATATATCTCATTATGTCTTACAAAACACCTAGATCTAGTGCACTCATGGCTGTTCAGGAAGAGATACAAACAAATCTATGAACTTGCCAAATCCAAGCACACATCTAAAGAGAACACAGGATATGCAGAGGAGTTATGCAAGCTAACCATAACAGTCATAGAGTCGGTCATCTAAGCAGTGGGAAAAGAAAAACACAAATAATATGTATGATATCAAAGGTTTTCTTTCCACTTTGATAAAAATAACTGCACTATCACATAAAATGAATACACAAAGACACGCCTTACTTAAATGCCTTATTTTTTCCTTTTATGGAAAAAAGGAGGTAAAGGATAATTCTAAGAACAATTTGTAAAATCTGAATAAGGTATAGGAATTACATAAAGCACCACATCAATGTTAACTTCTTGAATTTTAAAATGATATTGTCATTACACAGGACAATATTCTTGTTTTTAAGGAAACATAAGTTGAAGTACACAGATAAAGGAACATTATGTCTGTACCTTACTTAAACAATCCAAAGAAAAAATTTTATGTGCATATATGTAAAAGAGAGACAGAATAAGAATGATAAAACAAATGTGATCTAATGTGAACACCTGGATTATCTGCATATAGAATATAAAGGAATTATTTTTAACATTCTTGTAACTTTTCTCTAGGTCTGAAGTTATTTCAATGTGAAAGTTAAAAAAAAAACAGACTGGCCTCAAAATTACACTTGACAAATATCAGCATCCCCAAGTCACAGATGAAGAGAGTAAAAATCAAAATAATCATACAATTAATTAAAGAAAAGGAGAAGCCAGAGTTGATTTTAATAAAGCCTGTAGTTTACCTTCCAGAAAAAGGTTTCATGTTTCAACATAATAATAGGTAATTCACCAATAAATTATAACTTTCTTATCTCCGAGAGAAACAATGTCCTGATTACTCATAATTTCCTCTTACAGTATTTCCTTCCTCTCAAGGCCTAATGTTACTAGCATGCTAAAAAATTTTTTTAACTCAATCAGTAATGAGCAGATATACAGCTGATTATTCACCAGAGTTATTCAAGCCCTAATCAATGCTACAGCACACAAAACAGCTGTCTCTAGGATAGGACATTCCAGTAAACTCATCTGTGATTTTACAACTCAGGTGATTAGACTTACGGCCCCACTAGAACAGATTGTTAGATACATCAATTACCTGAGAACTGCCACTGAAACCTGGAGGTTGGCTGTATTCTGTGGAATCAATAATACTACTGCAAAATGAAGAAAAAAAAATGTGATTTCAGTTTTTACGTTCTCTTTAGCAACAGAAAAAGTAAATCTAAAATATATCATATATAAATCCAATATTTATTGTCAATAATTTGTAAGTCAAATAAATACATATTCCATAAATAAAAAAATTAGGAAATAAACAATTTACCCCTCCATCCCACCACCTTAAATATACCCATCTTGAAAGAATGTCAACAGGGAATAATCACAAGACAGGCATACACAACTGAAGTATTCGCTACAACTTCATTTTCAGATAGTTGTTTCATTTTCAGTTAAGCTGTTTGAACTTGAAGGAAAAGAGTACTTAGAATACTGTAAAAAGGGCACAAGTATGCAATCAAAAGCTATGATGAACAGATCCTGTCATGAAACCAGAGTTATGTGCCCCTGGACAAACACCTTACACTCACTCAGTTTCCTTATCTGCAAAACGAGATAAATGGAGACTAACAATGACTGACTAGCTCAATCTATAGTCCCTTCAAGCTCTAAAATGCTATGATAATCATCTCATGTGAAAAAAAAACTACCAAAGGAATGGAATAAAAATGGTAGAATATCAATAATATTTCTTTTATAACCCAAAATCTATATTCCAATTTCCTCTGCTCTAGTCAAACATAATTTGCTTTCTCTCTTGGTTGTTTCTATTTGATTATATTCTCTGTGCATTCTCCTACTTACCTTAGTAAACCCTTTTCAAGTACAGACTACCTTTTCTTCCTAAGAGTTCTACCTTACCACATCTATTTTTTCACTTCACTCTTCTCCCCCTCCCATCTTTAAATAAATTAGCCTATGAGGACTACTAACATCTGAAAATGACATTAACAGATACATCAACAATGACAGATCAACAGCTACCTATATTTTAAAAAATTCTTCCCTATTTCTACTATAGAAATGTCTATATTTATCCACCTTAATGAAATTTAAGCAATTGAGAGTACTAATTTCAGTGCATTTCTTTACATAAATACACAAAGTCATTATTCACTTTAGTCCAATAATCACAAAGGTTATAATATGAGAAGCACTCTTAAAGGGTACAGAGTGGGTATGAATTTCACCTATTAGCAGCTAAATGACTCTGGGCAGTTATTGATATTATTTGGCCTCTAGTGTCTCCATCTGTTAAGCAAGATATTTCAGAGAGGTGTAAGATTTAATTGTGTTAATATTCCTCAGTACAATACCAAAAAATGGTAGGTATTCAATAAATTTTATTCTATAAATAAAATGTCAATAACATACAAACTTATGTTTTCAAAAATTTAATAAATCAGAAGGAACTGTTCTCACAGTACTCCAACACATAATAATAGACACTAATTTATTGTGTTCTAAACCATTCCTATAAGACTCACTTATAAGACCCTCAAAGCATCTACACCACAAATTAAAGAATTAACAGGATCTTGTAATTAATTTCTCCTGATGAAATATAACCAATGCCTACTTTCCTTGAACAGGGTCATGAACTGATATGACAAGATCAGGTGCTATTTTCAGAATACTCTATACAGGGACTAACATGGCTAAAAATGAGGAGATGCCAGGTATTTAAAATCTGCATTCCTTCCACTACTGAAACCCAATCCCCTATTTGCATAAACATTAATGAAATTATGAAGCTTCATATTTAGAGGCTGATAGAACAGAACTATTTCTAGATAATAATTTATGGGAATGTAATTCAGACTTCTTTGACTGCAAGCTGGAACAATGACAATGATTCTTAGTGTGCACTGGGAAATAACACTACACTTCAAATACATGTCGAAAAATAGTCCTGATCAGGGTTTCCCTGGTGACTCAGAGGTAAGGAATCTGCCTGCCAATGCAGGAGACACAGGTTCAATCCCTGATCCAGGAGGAAAGCAACTAGGTCCATGTGTCACAGCTGCTGAGCCTGTGCTCTAGAGCCCAGGAACCACAACTATCGAAACCATGGGCCCTAGGGCCCATGCTCTGCACCAAGAGAAGCACACAGTGAGAAGCCCACGCACCACACTAGAGTGGCCCCCACTCGGCGCAAGCAGAGGAAAGCCCACACAGCAGTGAAGACCTAACACAGCCAAAAATAATAAATAAAGTTAAAAAATAGTACTGATCAGAAAGCATTGAAATTACAGGCTTTAAGTGATATGCTGGTAACAATCACTGCAGAATTTGAAATTTAGTTTATATTAGATCTTAATCTTATTCACTAGAAAAATTTATTAATGCATACACAACTGCAACAGAAGCAATCTGAAGAAATAAATCCCTTTAATTTTGCTTTTTAAATGTGTGTGTATATGTGTATATAAAGTAAACATGATTACAAGAGAATATTAGAAAGCATTGACTGGGCTGGTTCCTCTTGATTCTGGTGATATTCTACTTCTTCTCTCCAGGTTAGCCACAATCTACAGATGGTGATAAAAACAACAATACTAACAGCTATAATTTATTAAGCATTCACCATGCTCTAGGCACTGATCTAATAATTTAAACTTCATAACTCAGGTAGGTACTATATCATTCCCATTTCTCAAAGGACGAAACAAAGCCACAAAGAGCTTACACATTTGGCCCAAGTTAAAAAGTTAGCAAACAGGAGAGTTAGAATTCAAAACCATGAAGTCAGGTTCTAGAATCTACACTGAATCAGAATGCTATGAGTCCTAGGCATATCATATTCTACAACTAGAGTGAAGAAATCCTGGACTAGTCCAACCCACTTCACACAGTTTAAAGAGAAAAGTTAAAAAAACAGCAACCTAGAAACATGTAAGTCAACAATTACTTCAATTAATGTTAAATAAATAACCTGAAACTATTTCAAATAAATTATAAAAATTAAATCCATCAAACTATGGCAAAAGCAAGAAGAAAATTTCAAAGCAGATCTCACAGACAGAATGCCAGAAGAACTATGGACAGAGGTTCATGACATTGTACAGGAGGAGGTGATCAAAACCATCCCCAAGAAAAAGAAAACCAAAAAGGCAAAATGGTTATCTGAGGAGGCCTCACAAACAGCTGAGAAAAGAAGAGAAGCTAAACGCAAAGGAGAAAAGGAAAGACTGCCCATCTAAATTTGCAGAGTTCCAAAGAACAGCAATGAGAGAGATAAGAAAGCCTTCCTCAGTGATCAATGCAAAGAAATAGAGGCAAACAATAGAATGGGAAAGACCAGGGATCTCTTCAAGAAAATTAGATACCAAGGGAACATTTCATGTAAAGATGCGCACAATAAAGGACAGAAACAGTATGGACCTAACAGAAGCAGAAGCTATTAAGAAAAGGTGGCAAGAACACACAGAAGAACTATACAAAAAAGATCTTAATGACCCAGATAACCATGATGGTGTGATCACTCACCTAGAGCCAGACATCCCAAAGTGTGAAGTCAAGTGAGCCTTAGGAAGCATAACTACGAACAAAGCTTTTCTCCTTTGCCTTAACATAAATAAAAGCTATATTATGACAAACCCACGGCAAACATTCTCAATGGTGAAAAATTGAAAGCATTTCCCTTGAAGTCAGGAACAAGACAAGGGTGTCCACTCTCACCACTACTATTCAACACAGTTTTGGAAGTGTTGGCCACAGCAATCAGAGCAGAAAAAGAAATAAAAGGAATCCAGATAGGGAAAGAAGAAGTAAAACTCTGTTTGCAGACGACATGATCCTCTACATAGAAAACCTCTACTTCGAAATTTTCTTCTTGCTCTTGCCATAGTTCGATGGATTTATTTTTATAATTTATTTGAAGTAATTTCAGGTTATTTATTTAACATTCATTGAAGCAATTGCTGACTTTCATATTTTTAGGTTGCTGTTTTAACTGTTTTAGTGGAGGTGGTAAAATTCCAGCTGAGTTATTTCAAATCCTAAAAGATGATGCTGTTAAAGTGCTGCACTCAGTATGTCAGCAAATTTGGAAAACTCAGCAGTGGCCACCAGACTGGAAAAGGTCAGTTTTCATTCTAATCCCAAAGGCAATGCCAATGAATGTTCAAACTACTGCACAATTGCACTCATCTCACACGCTAGCAAAGTAATGCTCAAAATTCTCCAAGCTGGGCTACAATAGTATGTGAACCAAGAACTTCCAGATGTCTAAGCTGGATTTAGAAAATGAAGAGAAATCAGAGATCAATTTGCCACCATCCGTTGGAACATAGAAAAAGCAAGAGAATTCCAGAAAACCATCTACTTCTGCTTTATTGACTACACTAAAGCTTTTGACTGTGTGGATCATGACAAACTGTGGAAAATTCTTAAAGAGATGGGAATACCAGACCACCTTATCTAAATCCTGAGAAATCTGTATCCAGGTCTAGAAGCAACAGTTAGAACCAGAAATGGAACAACAGACTGGTTCAAAACTGGGAAAGGTATGTCAAGGCTGTATACTGTCACCCTTCTTATTTAACTTATATGCAGTGTACATCATGCAAAAAGGTGGGCTGGGTGAACCACAAGCTGGAATCAAGGAGAAATATCAATAACCTCAGATGTGCAGATAACACCACCCTTATAGCAGAAAGTGAAGAAGAACTATAAGAGCCTCTTGATGAAGTGAAAGAGGAGAGTGAAAAAGCTGGCTTAGAACACAACATTCAAAAAACAAAGATTATGGCATCTGGTCCATCACTTCATGGTAAATAGATGGGGAAACAGTGAAAATAGTGACAGATTTTAGTTTTCTTGATCTCCAAACTCACTGCAGATGGTGACTGTAGCCATGAAATTAAAAGATGCTTGCCCTATGAAAGAAGTTATGACCAACCTAGACAGCATATTAAAAAGCAGAGACATTACTTTGCCAATAAATGTCTGTAAAGTCAAAGTTAGGGTTTTTTCAGTAGTTTTGTATGGATGTGAGAGTTGGGCCATTAAAGAAAGCTGAATGCTCAAGAACTGATGCTTTTGAACTATGATGTTAGAGAAGACTCTTGAGAGTCCCTTGGACTACAAGGAG